GAAATAGTCCAAAAATTAGAAAATAGCGAAATTTATTTTGAGGGCGATGGCCGGCAATTTTTTCTTTTCAATAGTAACTACCAAATCAAAATTGGCGAATTGGAAATGGAATTTAAAAATCATAATGGTTACGAAAGCGAAGACTGAAATCGGGAGTTTAAAGAGCAATTAAAGAAATCTGGTTCGGCACACCATAGGGCAAATATGGCAAAACTTCTTGTTGGTTAACTTATGTTTTTTCCTCGGCATTGCTTTGTGTTATAGAGAAAGCTATAGAATTAAAGATTAGATATTTGAGTGCATTTCGTTCTGTCATTCTATTATAGCTAATTCGTCACGCCCAATCAAAAAAATGTCACACCTAAATATATAGTATAATGAAGAACACGATATATCGAGACAAAAATAATAAAAGTATAATAAAAGTATAATAACCATGCCAATAAAAAACCCAATTAAAGCAAAAGAATGTTAATTAAGTACACCCGGGAGCGAGGAGAGGATCCAACACTAATAATTAAACAAAGAAAAAGTTTACTATCCCGAAATATTATACCCAAAAGCCAAACTAGAAAATGTACTCGGCTGCCAGCAGCAAAGAGTAATTGCCCAAGAATAGTCGTGGGTGTTAGCGATTTTAAAAAATTGCGTTTGGAAAGCGAGATTATTGTTGATAAATCACTTTTAATTAAAGCTATTTTGGAATCTCCAGCCGAAGTATTGCTTATTACCCGGCCCCGCCGGTGAGGAAAAAGTCTTAATCTAAGCATGCTCAAATATTTTTTTGAGTTGGAAGTCAATTCACAAGGAGAGCGATTATCTCCCCAAAAAAGCATCAACCGCACGCTTTTTGTTGGGGGCAAGATAGTTGATGATCTCGAAGGAACGAGAAAGTTGGCTTCCTTGATGATTAGTTCCGAACCAAAATTTATGGAAAAACAAGGTAAATACCCAGTAATTGTTCTGGACCTTAAAGATGCGAAAGGAGGTAATAGTTACCAAGAGATTGAAAATAAAATTAAAATTCAAGTATTTAATGCTTTTGCTGAACACAATTACTTGAAACAATACCTAGTTCAGGAGGAAAATGCTCTAGAAAATACTCTAGAAAAAGAGCAATTAACTAGATGTTTTTTAGGGAAAGCTGAGAAAATTGATTTGGAGGTTAGCCTAAAGTTATTAAGCAAACTATTGTACCAACATTTTAAACAAAAAGTTTACTTACTAATTGACGAGTACGACACAGTGATCAATGACGCCTACTTGACGCTCAAACTGGCTAATAAGCCTGCAGAATTTGATGAGATATTAAAACTCTTTCGGACAATGCTCGGCTCGGCCTTAAAAGGCAATATTTATCCTAAACAGCCAGAAGACTCCCACTTCCATAAGTGGGGGATGAATGGCCAACGCAACTTCTTAAC